ACTCAATTTCACCCTTGGTCACCACTGGAGGCGTCACATGGAACCCAACTGGATTGGAAGTTACACCCTCTGGACTCTCACACCACTCACTTACACACCTCAACAACATGTCAACACTCAATCACCACCAACACATCAACAATTACATATCACACACTATACATATGCACATTGCAGGACAACTACACTCTCTCACCAGCATAGTACATAAGTATACACACCACTCCACCATCTTCTGACATATTGACACATGCAGTGTTAGTGTAGTACCACTCTGGATTTACAAGTGACATCATGCAGGCTGTCATGTCATTTGTTATTCTTCCTTGCAGCTGTCACACTATCTCACACCACTCATGTAATCTTCATCACCCCATCTTAGTTTGCAGACTAGTACAATCACCTCATGTAGCATGCTACACCAGCATAAAACCCTCATGTAGACTTCTAGTTCAAGCTAAAATGACTCTTATGACATCATGTAGGTTTCTCAATCAGCCAAAATACCTCATGTACATGTCCTGACTAGCTAAATCCCCTCATTGTAAAGCTCTGGCCAGCTAAAATATCTCATTCTCTTGTTCCCCTGAAGCTAAAATCCCTCACCTTTGTGTATTTAAGGAGGCTCTCCTCCCAGTTGTTTTTCCCCCCCAGTTTAGTACCCACAAATCACATACCCCCTACCATTACATACCATACCATTAACATTACATACTGTAACAACCCTTAAAAACACCCTATAACAACCCTTACACTCGTAATACACACTAAACTCACTCTCATACTCTCAAAACCTCTTCTCTCATACAATTATATTGCGATCAAACAACTTATTCTCGAACCAACCACCCCTATCACTTGATTAAAACTTGCCAAGCTGAGCTTGGTGGGTCTTGTTATCTGATAGTACAGAAGGGCAGAGCTTGCAACTCCACCATCCCCTTCAACATTCAGCAAAAGGGTCCTCACAACCACTTTTGAGTCTTACACCGACAAGCTGGGATGAATACCCTCTCGTCGGGAGGGGTTTCTCCCAACGAGAGGGTATGTACACCAGCTCGTCGGGGGGAGTCCCTCCCGGTGAGCTGGATTGTGTACCAGCTCGCCGGGAGGGGTTCCTCCCGACGAGCTGGGATGAATACACCACGAACTTTGACCAACCGCGGGGCAACGTGAGTTTTTTTGTGGGGCCGACCCTCCCAACCCCGCCCAAATTTCCCTCAGGGCCTCGGAGCGGGAGGTATCGGGAGCCGCTGTTGGCCCAACCTCCAACGCGGGACCCACGTGGCTGTCCGCGTTTGGGGTAGCTCCCAACGCCGGCCTCTCATTGGGTCCGCGGTGGGAAAAACTAGTACTTATCTCTAAGACAAGGAAGTCTTCAGGAGGGGGGAACTGTTCTTGAGGCGCTCAGAAAGGTGGGTGAGAGAGTTTGGAGGAGTACTGGGGAACAGGTGTTGTTGGTTGATGGAAATTCAGGTTGATAACAGCAGGAACAAGGGCCAATGGGCAGTTGGAAACTGGTTGTTGGTGATGGTTTATGCTGGTAAGTGATGATGAAGATGGGGAAACCAAGTTCAGGGGGAAGAAGGGGCTCTTAAATACCCATTCTGGGCCTCTGGAGGCAAACTCAGGAGTCTCTCTAGTTGCTACAACTCTCCTACTAAGCCTATGGGAGCTTTTGATCATCTGTAGCCCCTTGTCAGACACTGAGGCTGTAGCCCATGTGTCTACAACCTGTACTTAACCAACAAACACATGTACTGTAGTGTATTGGTTAAGGACTGTGTTATGACTTTGCCTCACCAACACACTTGGGTTCAAATCCCAATTATGTAATCTTATATTTTTATTATCTTATTTTTATACTTTTATGCTTTAAGTAATTCCACGGAATTACTTAAGTATTCACCTCTGTATTAATATTCATATTTTATATACATACAATTTGAAATCTTAATCATCTCTCTATACTCTGTAATTAGAGAGATGACATCATTCTTTCTCCTTTGAGCTTGAATGACATCATTTCCTCCACTTCTGGTTGAAAGCTTAATTTAAATACATACTTTGATCATTTATGATTATATACATAAATGATCCTCTGCAGGCCTCACCGGTCTCACAGGCAGGTTGACCCCTGCCTTTGTAATACTTAAGGGGGAGGTCTTCTTCCCAAGAATCCTCCCCCCAGAGATTATTACCATACAACCCGGGCACCTTACATACAATTGTGAGTGGGGTTATTATTTAATCTATTACTATTCCTCCCCCTTATCTTTACCTCTTTATCTCATCCCTAGACTACAGTAAAGTCAATACTGTAGCCTAGAAGAGAGTTGAACCTTCCTCTAAGCCCGGCGCTGCGAAGACCCTACCGCACGCGTCCCCTACAAACTTAGGGAGCTTAACCCCTCCGCTTTCTAGCGTCGAGGCGAGGTTTCTCATCCACTGGCTGCTAGTAAACACTAGCAGTTATAGTGTGAACCTGTAAACCCCATCAACGCCAGGTCACTCAAGAGACCGGCGTTGACACCCCTGTAGAGCTTGGTTACAGGTGTCAAGGAGATGATGTAAGGCTTGTAACCATGTTTAAAGTGTTTTCTGAAGAAACTGTAACACCCCTTCAGCCTATGTAAGCACTGCATGATGCATGGTTGATCCTCAAGAGAGTAATTGTCCCAATTGGGCCAAAAAGGGCCACAGATCATCCCAAACAGTTTAATACTGCTGTCTGTGCTCATGTAGTTAAGGTTTCAATGATGTAAACCTTGTTTGTAGATTTTTCCCGAACTGCATGAACCTTAATTACACATGCAGCCCCCTTACAACATGTAGTATGATGTAACTGGAGGGGTCTACAGTGTATTTTGGTCCAATATCACTCAAGGACTACAAAGTAAGTGAAGGAGTAATAATTCAGGGATACACTTGGTGAGCTACCCTAGGTTATTTTGCATGTAGATTCATAATCTGCAATAATATTCTGAGTTATACTTAAGGTTCAGAAGTTATTAGGAGATTCTGGTTAAAAATGTTATTTTTCCTTATTTATTTAATTATTTAAATGTTTTTCTTGTGGAATATTACAATGTAAGTGCACAGTGTAATAATGTCTCTATTATAGTGCTTCCACTTATTTAAATAGTATATTTTATTGTTTTTAATTGTATGTACATATGTAAGTAATAATATCTCTAATTTATATGTAAAATGCTATGTTCAGGCTGGCTCTGATTAGTAGCAGGCTGACAAGAGGCTTGTTTTGGGGGTTGAAGAAGGAAAGATTCACAGCCGGTTAACTATTTAAGTGTAACAGGCACAATTCCAGAGTCGATCGACCTTTGGACGTCTTGGAGGTTGGAAGTCCTCCTTGGACATATTGGCGTACTCCTTCCCCTGAGAGAAGAGGGAAAAGTCCTTGTTCAAGACTAGGACTGCGTGGCTTTGGAACAGCAAAATAATTGAGGTCAGCAAGATCAAATCTAATCAGCAATCAAGGGAAAAAACTTACTGGAGTTGGAAATCATATGAGGAGCCTCGGAGGATGGCTAATCGCTCGTCAATTTCAGCCCACTGCGAATCCTTACTGGATTTATGAGCGTAGTAGTGGACCATTACAAGTCGTGCGTAGCACATTCGTGCTCGCATGGCAGAGTTTGTTGCAACTTGATGTTTGATTTCTTTTTCATTCATTTTGCTTCCTTTCGGAGGAAGTTCTTTATAGATCTAACAAGCAAAATGATGACAATGTGAGACATACCAACATCGCCTAACAGTGATTGAAAATTACTCACAGCAGCTATCATGACTTTGCAAGCTGGCACTGCACCATCCACAAGTATCTTCTTGGTCATGAGGATGTTATGCAAAAGCTTCACGAGTTCAAAAGTTAAACAAACATATAAGATCAAGAAAAGGTGGGGGGGATGTGTGCAACAGAACGACTTACCAGAGTATGCAAATTGCTGCGTTGATACTTCAAAAGCTCTCCAACAGCATCACGATACAGACGAAGAGTGTCCGGGTCTTTCTTTAGTTGAGCAGGGCAGAGGTGATCCTTTTTCCATTGGTCAGGCTGTTTGTCAACAGCATCCTGATCACAGAAAGCATCAGTAGAGATAACGTACAGAATCAGTCAAGAGTTATCAATCACTTACGAGGGTAAGGTAGAACAATGTTTTGGGAAGGCTCCCATTGTTGTGAGGGTTGTTTGAATACGCTTCAAGTGTTGGCTTGAGTAAGAACATGCGATAGTTGGTTCTGACAAAAGGCTTATTTTGTTGAGTCATAAGCGAGGGGAAAAAGAAAGATTGATAAGGTTAAAATTCTTACTCAGAAGCATTCATCATACGCATGGGTCACTTGGGAACGATTTATGTTCCTGACATTGAGCTGATGATATGCACCGTTTGCAAAGAGATTACCTATGTACCTGTCTTCTGGGGGGCACTGTTGCCAAGAAGAAAGCAAAAACAACCGTGTCGATCAAATGTTTAATCAAACCAGTTTAGAAGGCAAAGAAGAAGAGAATAAATCAAAGCAGGTAGAATTTGGATGAAGTGAAGGACACACCTTGCTTGCAATGGAAGCGATCTTCAAATACTCGGGTCCAAGGTTTAGCTGTGACTGGAAGTGAGCGCAAACTCGATCGAGGTTGTTATCGGTAGTTGGTTGATCGGTCATGTTGACATCCCGGGTAGAAGAAGACTCAAAGATTTCTGTTTGAACAGTTTCTTCCATGTGATCAGAAGAGTGTTGGTCATCTTCATTGGGGAGGGGGGGGGTAGGCGGGCCATCTCCAACTCCTTCGAACTGAGTTGAAGGATCTTCCGGATCTCCAATGATGATATCATTCATGTTCAACATGATGGAATGGAAGTGGAGGGAGGGAGGGAGGAGTGAAAATGATTGGAGAATGATTGGGACGGATTGAAAGTGAAGGGATGAAGAACGAGGATTGATCGAGGGCAAGGTGGATCAGAGGACTGAAAAGGTTTGAGGCTGTGTGGGAATGATTGGCTGATTTGAACCACAAGTCTAAAAGTTAAAAACTAAAGTGAAAACAGTAAAGGGCAGCAATTGGATTCAGACACCAAAAAAATAAAAAAAATGGTGAAGTCGTGCAAACCTTAAGGTTGAAAAAATACGGTCCAGTCCAGTTAATTGTCGTCAATCGGTTTCAACAAAGCTGTACACAGTTAAATCAATCAAAAAAATGGATAAGGATTTCAAGTGTAAGCCCAACTATTTTTTTATGCACGTAAAAAAAGTGAGAAAAAAACTTACCTTTTTCTATAGATTTTATTGAAAGAAGAACAACTCGAGGGAAAAAATATGAGTGTCTGCTATGTAAAGGAAGGGCAACAACCAACCAAAAGCGACATTGTGTGAACTCATGACATCAAAATCTAGTGGAGCTGAATAAAAAGCGGCGAGATCAAGAGTCTGCTCAAAAGGCCGCGAGTGGAGATACGACTGAGGAAGCAATGATTGTTGACGATACAATCGACCAGCTTGGAACTGTGATGGGTGACGATAACCCAGTTGATGACGATGACAGTGGAAACGAAACGGAGGACGAAGTCAAAGGGTTTCCACCGGGTACTTTTCAGGTGGAGGAATCCGATGACGAGGAGGCTGAGCTGAATTGGATGGACTTCGTTGGTGTGGCAGCTGGTCAGATAAATTCGGAGCCGGAGGATCTCAATGAATCCGCTGATTCACCTCTCTTTCAACGTGAGGAGGAAACAATCGCAAATGTGAGACCAGAAACCTCGGCCTGGTACCCATTTGTAAATAGGGAGGTGAGCTGAGTATTCTTGTAATCAAAAAGTAAATATAACAAATTGATCTTACAATTTTTGATTCTGATTTGAAGTACCTTATTGGTTCCCTTTTAGTTGGGTACTTACACAAACTTATATCGCGGGACATGTACCATATAATCCGTAGCGTCTTGACACTGCACCACCTTTTCCTGCCGCGCTGGGAAGCCTTGCGAATGATGCAAAGAAAGATCCGTGAAATGACCAATCAAACTATCATTGAAGAAGAAACCGTCTTTGGTCAGCCGGTATTTGGACTAAATGCAAAAGAATTAATCAGAGATGTAAGTGCTTACTGGTTTTTTTTCCACTGCGGAGTCTTGTACAAATGTGAGACAAATACTTGAGCTGATTTGTGATCGATGTGTTTCAAAAGGACCTGATGAATCCCTTGGTCGTACCCCACATGGATTTTCTTCCGGAAGAGACACTTGGGAAAAATGTCTACAAGAGTTCACAGTCTGCAAAATGGCTGAAACATATGTTGCCAGATCTTCGAGTTCAGATGGTGGAATCAAACCAAAAACACTTTTACACCTATGAACCCACCAAACTTCTCTCTTCTGAAACCGTCATTCCTATCTTTTTTTACACCCAACAGACCAAGATCTTTGCAAAATGCTTCAGTCCAGTTTTCAAATCCAACCAAGATCAATCTAAGATCCAAATTGAATTTCTGAAAACATTGATTTTGATGATGAGAATCTCAAAATCATCCCTATTGAACAACTAGACTTGACCTATCTGGAAATTAAGACACGTAATGGATCAATGCTATCAGAATGTTGTTCTGGAAAGCTAAATGGTGAGAATCCAAACAATTGGAATTATTATGAAACATTTATGTGTATTAATGTATTGTTTCTGCATATTTTTGAAAAAGAAATTGATGAACAGAGTCAATGGAACCCAAAAATCACTTTACCAAATCCCTGGAGAGAAAAGGCGGACGGAAAGATCTTGAGAAATGTTCCAATCAATTTACACTGTGATGATACATCTGGAAATAAATCAAAAAAATGGAACAAACACATCTCCTATTATTTTACACTCTCCAGCTTGCCTCCTCAGATTTCCAATCAACAATTCAATTGTCAATTCCTTTGCACTTCAAACATTTTGGGGCCTTTAGAACTTGGAGAGATGGTTGTTAAACAGTTAAAGTATTATTTTCCTCATTCACAGATTCTACATTTTGCTCCCTTTTTCTAATTCCTTGTTTTTTTTTTTTGGCTTAGTGACATGGCCATCAATGGTTTTACAGCTTACGATAGCACAATTGGCCAAGAAGTTCATGTCATGACTAGCCTTTTATGTTTTTTAGCTGATTCCCCTATGCACGCTGAAATCACCAACACGCCAGTACCTGGAAAGTCTCTAAATTCTTGTTGATATTGTGTCTTAAGTTCTTCCAGCTTGAAAGAAAGAGAGAAAATCCCTTACATTTCAAAATTTGCACAGAAAAACTTGCATGGATCAAATGTATGGTTTAATTTCTTTTACATTTTTTCTTTTGTTTTTTTATCTGAAAGAAATTTCTCATTTGTTTTCCTTTATGAAAACAGTGCCCAAATAAACTCAGAACCATGGCAGAAACTAAGGAAAAATCTAAAAAGCTATGGACGCATGTCAAGGAAACAGTTAATCTGGATAAATTAGACAAGAAATCTGCCGAGTTTGGTGTTCGAGATCAAATCAACAGAAAGTTTTCCAAACAGTTATTCAAATTCGATGCAAAAAAACTGGAACTATTGGAAAATGGAGAAGAATTATCAACTCATATGGATCAAGAAATTCCTCAAGAATTAGTGGATATGGAAGAAAAGGAACCAAAAAGGATGTTTAATTCTTTTTTGGAGCTGAAAGGTTTTTATTTTGCTTGCTAATTTGGGTTTTCATTTTTTCATTCAATTTTTTTTTTGACTTTTTTTTTTATTTTAGGTTTTGACATGGTTGAGGACACTCAGTTGAAATCTTGCATGTTTTTTGGCTTGGTGCAGTAAAGTATCTATTCAGAGATTTCATGAAAGGATTGAGCGAACTTCAAAAAGACAACCTCTTGGCTTTATGGAATTCTTTCAACACAAATTCTCTCAACATTCCTTCTGTTAGACCCAAAAGCATGGTACAATATGCATCAAGTTTGATTGGTAAAGACTTCTGAATCATTCTTCAAGCAGCCCCTTTCATCTTCTTCCAGTTCATGACTGAATCCAAGATCAAAATCTGGTCTTCTCTCTGTCATTTGGGCTCCTTAATCTTCCAAACTCATATTGAAGATATGACAGAATATATTTCTGAGTTGAGGAATGCTATTGATATATTCTTAAGAAATATAATTGAAGACTCTGCCCAATGGATCAATAAAGCCAAATTCCATATGTTACTTCATCTTCCTGAATCTATCCTCCGTTTTGGTCCAGCTTGTCTTTTTGCCACTGAAAAGTTTGAAAGCTATAATGGTATCCTTAGAAATGCTTCAATTCACTCCAACCGTCAAAGTCCTGGTCAAGATATAGCTATCAAATTCAGTAATTATCACTCTTTCCGTCAAATTATCTCTGGTGGTTTCTTTTTTGATAAAAAACAAAAAAATATCTTTAATCTTCCAATCAAGTCACAAATATCTTTTCACAAAATCCCTTAATACAGCAGACTTTGGGCTATAATCAATCAGCATCCCTTCCAAATAAAAGTTATCCTTGTATCAAGAAGCTCTCGGTACCAGAAATTCATCAGATAGAAACTCCTCAAGAATTGAAGAGTCTATATCCTGACTTTGAAATCAAGCAAATCTCTGAACTGAACCTCAACAAGAAGCAAGTCCTCAAAAAAGACTACTTCATTCTGGTATTTCCTGAAGCCTTGTCATCCTCTGTTTCCTTGGATAAATTCCATCATTTCTGACTTCAATGATTTTCTTTGTTGAATCTTAACAGTTTAGTTCTACGCAGACAGAAATATCAGAGCCTTGTGATCAGATCATGTTGGACGCATCTATTCTATCTGGACGATTAAGGAAGCCTCCAATCAAAACAGGTTTTTTGTTTACATTACAGTGTTTCAAAAAATGGAGCTAAATTCTTATTATAACATGCGTGAAATCCAAAGGACACCAAGTTGCTATGGTCTCGATACAACCGCTAGAGTGCGTGAATACTATCCACAACGGGATGAAAAAATGGAAGCAGGTTGCAGATAAAAAAACAGTCAAAATCCGGAAGCAGGCACTAGTGCCATGGACGTCAAGGATTGATCCCGATCTGTTTTAAATCAAATATTATGTACAGCAATGCAAATGAGTTTAAACTAGAGATGGTCGCGGATAATCCGCCGCGGATATCC